GCACCACTTCTCAAAGAAAATTCAAATCGTATCGGCAATTATACCAAATTTCCAGGCAAGAGTGTGACGGATTCTCGGATGCAGCATATGAGCAAACAAGTTTCTCGGAAGATTGGTTGCCATCACACGAACAATGTTGGTGTATTATTAATGTGATAAGAAATTTTTCGTTCTTTCACGAAAATCAAGAGTACCTGGCAACACATCCAAGATTATTACCTGTGCTCATGAGAATATTATATGTGGGAGAAGACGATTGTCATCTCGAGGACACAGAGACATCGTCTAAAGCCAGAAAAGGTCGAACGAAAAGAATTCGCAAACGGGCCTATGAAATTTTAGAGTTGCGCAAGAGTGTCTTAATAATTTTATCGAACATTGCAGCTTATCTTCCGTTGTCGTCAATATGCCTTACGAGGGATCTTTTAATGGTGATCGCTGACTTTCTGGATTGCGCGGACGATTATTACGCACAAGTGGCTTTGGAAGTCTTCTCAAAGATGTCTGTATCGTACGAAAATCGACAACGAATTGGTGGATGTGACGAAGCCACGTTAACAATCGTTTTTGAAAAATTGGCGGGGATGCTATCTCAGGGAGAAAATAACGTCGGACTAAGTATTTTCAGGGGAGTGTTGACCCGTCCTTTGTCACAAGATTTGCCTTACGTTGCGACTTTGGTGATGGCCTATTTTAACTTTGCCCACTTAAGCGGAGTTAGAGTGTTTAGTGCGTTGGTAACCTCCAATTTCATGCCGCTCTTTAAAGACATCGTGAGTGCGTGTATGTCGACCGCACCTATATAATTAATAAGATGGAACCCACAAATTTTGAATATATTGCGAATCATTTAAACTTCAAATCAAATCTTTACTCGGACTTTACCTAAATCCTGAATGGTGGGTAAGTGCAAAGGTAACGAGAATTTCTCAAAGACTTTCAAGTCGATACCTCCATAACTCTCGACGCGACGTATCTTTGGAGAGTAGTTAACCTTTGGAGGCCTAGGAACAGCGTTTTTCGTTGGCACCGATGGATTAGATGGATTAGGCGGAGCGGTGACGGAAGGGGATTTCTCAACTTGTCGAGAAACCGAACGTAAATTATTCGCCCTACGTCCAATTATCCCACTATTTACCGGTAATCTTAGATTGTTGGAAATGCTTGAATTCTTAATGATGTTCTCTGCCTTTTGTTTGTCACTTTGGATAGCGTTGAATGGCTGCTTGCTTTGTTGCGGTGGAGGTTGCGGTTGAAAACTTGTGGAATTCGAAGTATTGGTAAGACTATCATCATCTTCTTCTTTAGGGCTGGTGGTCGAAGAGGAATTTTGTAATTGAACGTTGGAAGCATACATTTTCTGGTTTTCCGTTATCGCCATAATGGATTGATTTTCAGTTTTAATTTCTTGTGCTTGTGGTGAAGTTCGTTGCATCGATTCTACATGTCCCATCAAGGTGTTCGACTTTATGGATGCTATCGCAGGAGAGTCTACAGTTGTTTTTGGTGACTGTTTGTATGAATCAATCACTGCATTCTGAATGCTAGATGTTGAAGATAGTTCAGAAGATATTGATGACTGTGCTGATGACTGTGGATAGATAGAACCTGAACCAGAATGATCCTTGGTTGCAATTTTGCTATATTGTCCAATTTGAGTTGTCGATTGTTGGTTGAGGTTAATAGATTGACTCGGATTATACATTACTGACTGAGAATTTGAATCAGATATCATATTTGATGCGATGATGGGATCTGGAGATCTGGGAAGCATTCCCATCGAATTATATTGAACACTTTTGGGTGATAGATTTTGTGAAATCCCACTTGATGATACAGGGCCGGATGTGATAGTAGAAAAGTTGTAACTAGAATCATCCCTGAGTTGTGGTGGTTGTTGCTGGTGGTGTTGCTGTTGGCGTATCTGCGTTGGCGATATTTGTATGTGTTGCTGAGGTTGTGATGTTGACTGTTGCTGCGATTGTTCTGAAATTGTTTGCTGTGATGTTTGGTCATCGTGTTGTTGTTGTTGTTGCTGCTGCGGCGACGACCGCTGAATGTTATTATTAATTGTCGGATATGACTTTGATGAATTTTGAGATGGATAGTGCAAATTACCTTGCAGCGAATTGGGATTCCAACTATGTATATTACCTCCAATGCTACCAGAATTATCATTCGAACAAGTGAAATCATATACTATATCATCGTCATCACCTAAATCTACTAACCAATCAACTTGGTTGTCATCCTGTTGAATAGAATTTTGCATCGCTTGATTTTGTTGTTGGGAATGCGGAGATTGAGGTTGATTTAAAAGATTATTGAAGTTATTTGCCATAGCATTGGCCTTTGTTGGCGTCTGTTGAAATTGTCCATAATATTTATTTACATTTTGCATTGGCGTTGCATATGTGTTAGCCTGCACCGATACTTGATTTTTTCCGTCTATATTTTGAATATCAGCAGTCACAAATGACTGTGTGGGTACTGTCGGTCTTCCAGCACTTATCATTTGTTGATTAGGAAAACCCCCGGCAGCTGCATAAAGCTGATTCTGGGTGGGTGCTTGTGTAATATTTGAATACATGTTCTGTATTGGCGGATTAGGTGCAAGGGCCACCCGTTTCGCCGCAGGCATACCATTAGTTGTCATGGATGTCATGGAGGCAACGGGTACGGGATATACCGAGCGACCAGAAACGGGCATCATGTTGATGCCGTTGCCGGATTGTAAGTATCCTGCGTTATTCGTCATATTAGCTGACAGGTACTGTTGAGGATACGAACCGACGCCCATGACATTAGTTGATCCCGCTTGAGGGTTTCCGGTGAATGGATAAGAAACACGGTTCTGTTGCTGACGCTGTTGGTATAAGCTTGGATCCATTGATCAAATGATATTTTTTTCTGGCGACAATATTTGATAGTTTTTTCCCCTGTATCAAGTATTATTATAGCTTCCGTAGTACAATGTATGTACCGGTACTACATGACGATGTATGACATGTACCAGATTAAAGTTTTCTGCATAAACATCACCGGAAATAATTATTCTTGAAGGCCCAAATTACTTGTCGCTACTGTGTGACGCGATTATTAAGTATGTTAACAAAAAATAAATACAATATAATTTATAGTATTAATATAACCTTAATATATTAGTTCTCTTATAAAAAAGTGATAGTGAGTTATAAAATAATAAAATATTAGTAATAGTTTCAATAAAATCTTAAAGCTTAATAAGAATTAGAAAAAAAAAAATCACAAAATTATTTTAATATTAGATTAATAATAATAATTATAATGATATTAAAAATTAAAAATAAAAATTATTAAATTACTCAATATTAAAAATAATATAAATTATTGATAAAATTAATAATAAGATACAGTGTGTAACAAAACTTTTTGAAATTCTTTATTTATTCATAACTTAATAAAAAATTATTTAAATAATATAAAAATTTAAATAT